GGGGGGGGGGGGGGGGGAGGAAATGCCACTGTGTACAGAGTAACATCGAGAAACGTACGGTCAGGTGGAATACTGTACGGGGAAACCCTCTATACCCAAACTTCCTACTTCAAAATCGCATCAGGGAGTCACCCACGGTGACATTGTAACCATTCTCACGAGGAGGTAATCTAGTTTACATTCTCGATGGAAAGGGGACGTTGCGGGATTTTCCTGGTCGTTGCTGATTCAATCTTCTCATTTTTTTTGTCGGCTCAGGGAGTTTGCCGGGATTTTTTTGAAAGGGCGGAGGAGAGCGAATGAGGAAATCCTGTTGGATAGAATAATAACGGGTTCCTCATAAGAAATTTGAACCTTCATAAGAAATTTGTCGTGAGTAACGTGTCATTTCAAAATTCGTGTAACTTTTAGTTTAATTATTCGCGGAAAATTAATGGGAAAGCAGGAAAATTTAGAGATATCTCGCCTTAAATTCCAGATTCTTCTGAATTTTCAGGGAATTACTTCAGAATTCCTGGAATTCTGAGAATTTTAAATATCTACATTCGTTGGGGATTTATTTTTCTAATTTTTCTGTTCGATTTTGGGAGTTTTCGAGGGATTTTTTTGAAAGGGCGGAGGAGAGCGAATGAGGAAATCCTGTTTTGGAAATGTAGGGGGAGTTGGAACATCATTACACTGGCAACAAACTTTTCACTGGAATTTTTGATGAGTTTTTGAAATTTGTAATAAATAACGTACCATTTCAAAATTTATGATTTCAGGGAATAATTCGGGGAAGCTGTAAATTTTAGTTTAATTATTCGCGGAAAGTGGAAAATGGAACAGCAGGAAAATTTAGAGATATCTCGCCTTAAATTCCAGATTCTTCTGAATTTTCAGAGAATTCCTTCAGAATTCCTGAAATTCCGAGAATTTTAAATATCTACATTCGTTGGGGATTTATTTTTCTAATTTTTCTATTCGATTTCGGGAGTTTTCGAGGGATTTTTTTGGGAAGGAATCCTGCATTGGAAATGTAAAGGGAATTTGCTACTAAAATACGCTCGACATTTCGTCATTTTGGAAAATTGTCTCTCTGTATTTATAATAATTAATGAATGAATAAATAAAAACGAATAGTTTCCCATAAACTGTATAAGTGAGAGGAAACGCCTGACTAATGTCGATTTTTTCCACTAGAACTCGTGAAATTTCAACGTTTCGAGGGATTTTTTTTCAGGGAAGGGTGAACGAGAGAATGAATAAGGCAATTCTGTTTTCGAAATGCAATGGGATATAATTTTTTATAATTATCACTCAAAATAAATAATTAATGACTCAATAAATAACAACAAACAATTCTCCATAAACTGGTGAATAGGCTTGAAGAAAAGTCCGACCAATGCTCGATTCTTCTCCTAGAACTTTCGATGAACCTGATAAAACTCCACTAATTAAGACACCGAGAGCAGAGATAAAAAAATAGCCAGAACTTTTGAAATTTCAACATTTCCAGAAAATAATTCTCCTGCATTTTTCTAATTTATTTATTTTGTTTCAGTTCTTGTCCAGGAACTTTTTTTTTTGAGAAGCGCTAAAGGGAGAATAAATCATAATTTTTTAAAAGTCCTTCTACGTCCTGAAATTATTAAAAACGATTAGAATATATCTGAATTTTTTTGAAATACTATGATTTTAAATCATTGTTTCATAATTATAAATAAATTATAAATAATGAAATGAATAAACAAATAATAATAATAATACCAATAATACTGAATAATTTCTCATTTGTTGTGAATTCTCCTAATTTTACGAATAACCTAGTAGAACAGATGAGAAAATCCGTCTGACCAATGCCCGATTTTTCCCCTGAAACTTTTAACAAACCTGCAATAAACTCCACCAATTACAACGCCGGCTAAAAAGCGAAAAAAAAAATATCCCGAACTTCCGAAATTTCACCACTCCCAGGAAATAATTCTCCCGGAATTCTTCAGTCGTAATAATAAAATGAGGAAATTGGGATGAGGATTTACCAAAGTTTCTCCAACTCTCAGAGTGAAATAAAAAAAGACATTTCAAACATTTAAATGGTAATACTCGTTTATTATAAATAACTATCAACACACTTCTTGTCTAGCCTCGTACATCGCCATTTTATGAAAGTGTAATCGACTGAATTTATCGATTTCCCTAAATTAAACGATTACTTCATTTACACTTCAGGGCAATGGCTTTAATGTCACCAGTTGTAATTGTTATCCATCATTTCCTTGTATTCATTCATTTATTTATTTATCTTCAATTTCTTAAAAATAGAAACACGTATGCGTTTAATACGACTTTTAACTTATTGGCAATTTGTTTATTTACATTTTTTAATCGTTTTTATTACCCACAGTTCCTCCAACTTTTACTCTCCACATTTTTTTACTCATTAGATTCACCCAGTGTATAATCACCCCTCACTTCGTTATTTTTACCTAGGATTATTTATTAATATTGCGTGGTATATGGCTGTCATCAAGGGAATTGACCAAACGTATCAATTAAAAATGAAAAATAGTGGAAAAAAAAATGAATAATGACGAATGTAATTTCATATCTACGTGAATAACGACTATAAATGCACAAAGAAATGATAATTCGCTTGGAAAATGCCCCGTGAAAAATAAAAATTGGAATAAAAAGAAACTGATTCTGCACTAGAATGGCGACAGCTAAAAAACCTCTAGAAATCTTCCCCAATTGTGCAATTATCCCCGTAATTCCACAATTAGCAAAAATGTCGTACAATTTTTTTGTCATTTTACTTCACAACTCTAGCCCAGAATCGCAAATAATCGTCAATATGAAATCACTTCGCCAATCACTTGACAATAAACATTGAACAAACACATTTCTCTCATTTCAGTAATATCAAAGAGGCCATTGAATCCATATGCAATATATTCTCATCCCTAAATCAAACTCTCTGGGGTTTTTCAAAAATTCACCGTCACAATAGCATGAAAAGAGGGCCATAATGAGGGGGGGGGTGGGGGGGATATAATGACAGGAGCGTAAAATGATCGATCATGTACCAAGCATGGAGGACAACAGCAGTAGAATTGCGAGTGTACATTTATAGCAACCGAGTACACGACTACAAACATCAACTCTCCCCATTTTTTTTCCCTTCCTCACTTCCTCAACTCTCCTCACATTCTTTTTAATCACATGTACATCCAGAGCCCCCTTTTCTCCATGCCATTCTCCTCAAGTGCTCCCCCCGATAATGGAAGTATCATAATAATCATCCACAACATGTGGAAAAAATAGTCATTCACTCGCGCACAAAGTTCGTGTTTTTCCCTTTTCGTTTTAATTACGAGAGAAGAAAAATGAATGAACGAGAGAGAAAAAAATGAAATAAATTTCAATGGAAAATAACAAATCACGTTCGTGTGATTATCATCCAGTTTTCTTGAAATTATTTGAATTTCAAGTTCGATTCACTTCGTTCTGCGAAGTTTTCCTCTCCATTTGGATGATTTTTTTTTTTTGGATTTATCTTTTTTTTGATGCTTGAAATTCGGTTATGAATGTTTATAACACTGTCAAATAGACTTTTCAAAATGTCCAACAATCTCTATCAACATCCATTAGCTATTCACAGACTTTCGAGACCATTTTCTCCATCTCCACGTCGGTGTCAATGTCGTGGTGCACGTGATTGCTGGCACTGGCGTTGTTCAGGGGTGGCACTGAATTTGTCAGGGGTGGTGGCACCATTGCCAGTGGTGTTGTCGTTGTTGAACTGGTTGGTGGAGTGCTGGGGGTGCTGGGGGTGCCTGCTAACTCCAGGGAGGTGGCTGGAGACTGCAGGGGCTCCGCGAGGTCCTCGAGACCCTCGGGGGTTGGCAGCTTGTTCAGGGCGTCTCTCAACAGTCTGTAGTGTCTCTGGAAAATTAAAATTGTTTTTTTTTTAGTCTTTTTGGCTCCAGAGTTCTGAAAATCGAAGATGTTTTGAAAGTTTGAGACTTTTTTTTCTCTGAAAATCGAGAGGATTTTGTTTAAATATTTTTGGAGGAGACAACGTGTTAATTTTTATTTTCAAAAAATGAAAAATCTGAATTTCCGGATTCAGAGTGCCTGAAAATATGAAAAAATGCGCCTTAATTTCAGTACAATTATGGAAATTACTGCGAATTTACACTTTTTTTTCTCATATTTTTTTTACAGATTTTGTTCACATTTTTCATCAAAATTTCTTAAACAAACAACTATTTCTAATAAAAAACGGAAAAAAGTATTACGATGAAAAAAAAATTGAGAAATGTAAATGAAAAAATCTCAGATTTTAATTAAACTTCAATTTTTTTATAAAATCATAAACTATGAACAACTTACCCTTAGAGCTAATGCATTTAGTGATATTGTACGAGCTGATCTTCTGTCTGTTCCATGCATCTCCATGTCCATTATCCAGCTCTCCAATTGTGCTACTATTTCATGTCTTTTTATCCAAAAATGTGTGTGAATCACCTGTGATCAAACAATTAATAAATTATTCATTCAATCGTCATTTTCTACAGTTTTTTTATTACTCTCTGTTTTGTTAATCAATGTTCCCAGTTCCTTTCTTATAAAAATTACAACATATTATGAACTAGCGAACGAGCGAAATTAGTTTATACTACATTATTTAATTTTTTTCGCCTTTTCCGTCTTCAGAATTAGATTGAGTTAATTCGATTCATTTTTATTCTTGTTCTTGATATAAAAATGTCTGGGAAATTTTGAAATCGATATATTTTTTCGAGTAATGAAAGAATACTCATAAATTCGATTTCTATTCTTGACTTTCGATAGGATAAATAGAATAAATGACAAAAATTAAGAATTGGATACTAAAAATTTTATGCAATTATTATTCTGTAATTTGGATTTTCAGTTGATCTCTTACCTCCTTGAAACAGGGACATGGATTGATGATTTGATCCAGCATGGCCCACTTGACAGTAGCCAAACAAACATTGGCATTGTACTCTTGACTAGATTGTGCACCACTGGAAGTTCCCCTGGACCTCTCGTACCCCGGCTCATTGAAATAGGGCTCTGGCACGAGAATCAGCGACTGAATCGACACCAAAACCTGAAATTAATCAAGCAAAAACATTTCAAAATCCCAAAAATTCCAACTAAACCATGAAATTCCCATTTTATCGTGCACTCGTCTTCGCAAAATTGACTGCAGTTGAAAATGTCGAAGAACTATTCCCGTCACACAAGGCAATCTTTTCAATAAATAATTAAAAATCAATAGTTTGTTGTAGTCAAAAGCATGCAACTCATAAACAAAAAAAAACACCAGCATTTTAAAATGAATAATTATCAATAAATGAAAAATGTTTCCCTGGATTTATAAAATGGAGCCAAAAGAGCCCTAAAAATCCTGAAATCCCCTCATACCTGAAGAAAACTACTGGTATGTGCGTTCCACTTCTCCTCCGGTCTCCCATGCCACGTATTGAGGACACTGAGGCATACTTTTCCATCATTATACAAATTAGGATTGAACCTAACACTGTGCCTCCCAGTGGTCTCCAAATTAATCAGCATAGGGCTATTAGGATAATCAGGTGGAAAATAGACATCAAACTCGAAGCAGCCATTGGCATAAGGAGTTTCAGCAGGTCCAGTGATCAACACCTTCATGATATCGAGCCTATCGGCGTCACACCTGACGAATACCGAGCTGCTGTACGATAATGGGAGAGCTGTTGACAATGTGACAGCCTCCTGAGCAAGTCTCTTGACCCTGGCGGGATGACTTCTGTCCTCAGCGGCCCTCATATTCGACTCAAAGTGGTATGACACAGCGAATTTGTACCCCCCACAATCGGAATTCTCAGCGATCATCTCGTACGTGTCAAACTGCAGATTCTTCATCACCTCCAGGTACCTCTGCTCAACAGACTTGAGAGGTAGTTCTGGGGCTGTTGGACTGGGCCCAGCGAGATCCTCACCAGTGGCAGCGAGTCGAGAGGTTGCATTCTCCACGATAGTCGCACTCTCCTGAATATCAGGAATGAGAGTGGCCAGACCCTCGTCCTGCTCAGACTCATCTTGATACTTTGTCACAGACTTTGACTTGTTTCCCCTCGTCCTGTTGATCTTGTGGACGTACGTGTCAACGCAGACTCTCATGCTCGACAGCAACGACACGATGGAGGGGTCACTGGATCTGCTGGCCCTCGGCAGCAGCAGTGGCGCCAGCTGGGGGGACAGTGCCATCGACCTCAGCAGCTGGAGAACAGCTCGATACAGGGGAATGTGTCTAGCCATGTCCAGGACTGAGTCGTTCCTCAAGTATGACGAGAGGGCTGGCAGCAGGCACGATCTCGCCATCAGCTCGGAGAAGGGGCCGGGAAGCTCCCTCTGGGGCCCTCCACCGTGGCCAATGTAACTTGCTAACACTCTCAGTAGAACTGTCACGTGCTCCTCCTCCGATCGCTGACGGAGGAGGGCTTGCTCGACGTTCCAGGATTGCTGGGTTGAGCCGGTACCGAAACCTGTGCCTTTCGCCCAGTAGAGGTGGGATTTGTCGTCACTGCGACCTCCAGCCTGGCCCAGACGCTGGTCTGAACCCTCGTTGTAGCCTGTGAAACAGAAAAATACTTCGTTTTGTTCTGTTTTTTTTTTTAATGAGTAATAATAATGATCAAAAAATAATGATTAATAATAATCATAGTCAAACTAATTCTGAAATTTCAGTCGTCAATTAATTTTGTTATTATCAAAGTCGTCAAAGAGAATTCTTGTCAGACAATTCCTGTTGAATTATAGTTTCTAATGATCAAATTCAATTCTCAACTCTTCTTATTCAGTTGGGTCTTCCCAATTAAAATTTCACTCCACAATTATTCAATCTAAATAATTCTCCACTTCCCTTTCATCAATTTTCTCCTCAATTATAAATACTTTCCTCAATTTTGACCTATTTACGAATTATTTATTTTGAATTCAGTAGTGAAGTGGTAAACCGGTATAACTCGATTTTGACCCCTGCCCAGTTTTCAATGAATATCTCAAAATCTAAAGGAAATAGCAAAATTTTTGTCATAACCTTTTTTGTAGAGCAAATTGAGAGCTACAAAAAAGTCAATTACAAAGATTTCGCTATTTCCCTTAGATTCCGAGATATTTATTGAAAACTGCCCAATAGTCAAAATGGACTTATACCGGTTTACAAAAAAAAAAAATCTGTCTCACCTGTCTGATGCGTGAAAATCGCCAGGCAATTTAGCAGCAGTAGAACTGCCCCAATCTCCACCATTGTCCTCCGCAGGAGTTGTCCATCATCAGTGGTTGGAGGTGTAGCCTCAAGCAGTTGTTTGAGTACTTGAAAGGGTAACGTCGGTAGCGAGGTGGCCAGTGGTGATCCCAGGATGTCGCCCCCCTCTCCGTCGTCAGTCACTCCAAGGGCCAGTCTCAGGAGGCACTGGGCTTGCTTTCTGTCTCTCAGAAGGACCTCTGCGTACCCTGGGAGCCGCAGGAAGAGCCCGAAGGCTGCCAGGGAGTGCAGGGGGACGTGGGGGGCTGGTGGTGTGGACCTGGGGGAGTTGCTCACTCCGCCCTCTTCAACGTCCTCGTAGATGTCCTCGCTTGCCTCCACCTTCACCCACTCGGCGTCTGTCTGCTCGGGCGAGGGGGACTTCTCCGGGAAGCTGGGGGGCCGTCCGCTGTCCGGGTAGACCAGGGGAAGGTGCTTAGCGAGAACTGCGAGCCCTCCGCCTGAGGAGAAAACGCCCAGGGCACTCTCGATTCTTCGGTAGCTGAGGAGCTCTGTGTCCTCGATGTTGGGGGGATCCTCCTTGTTGTCTTTTGTACGCTGGCGCAGCACCAGGTGGATGCAGGGCTCCGACAGAGAGAGTCCACTGTCCTCAGCAATTGCCAACAACTGGGAGATGCAGAGCTGGGGGAGGAGCGCGCTGTTTGGGCGCGACGAGTGCGTCAGGTATTGCTGGCTCGAGGAACTCGTCGACGATGATTGAGTACTTGAGCCACAGCCTTTTGACGAGGATGTGCCGTCTGGAAAGGTAAAGAAAATATTAGTTTTTTTTTTAATTAATGTTTTAACCTATCATGGGTTATTTACAGTCAAAATAAATGATAGTAGTTGTTGAAATGAGGTTTTTTGAGATATCTAAATTGGGGAAAAAATGTTTAAGAAGATAAAATGGGGAAAGAATTGTTAAAGTACCTTTTGGGGCTGAGAAAACTCAGGATTTTACGACAAAAATGGTGAAGAGAAGAGTGGGGGACATTTTGCTTAAATTAATTTTTTTGTCAATGAGTTTTCATAACTTATTCATAAATTATTATTATTTTTTCATGTGTTCGTCTTTGGAACGAGTGCATTAAAGAAGACATGTTTTAAAAAATTGTTCTCTGGGGCTCAACAAAAAATTAAGGAAATTGAGGTAATTAAAAACATTATCCAAATATTCTTGAAATAATTGCAGGAAATACGTTTTACAATTATCCCCTGTTCTTCTTCACTCTATTTTTCCACGAAAATCAATAGTTCAATGGTAATTTTGAGGGAATGAGAATGTGCAGTAAAAATGTAAAATATTGAATTTCAATTCTATACCCGAGCCTAAACGAGATTTTCTAATGATGGGTCCACGAGCCTGTGACCTATTTGACGCCTCCTTGGCACGTTTATCCTTGGCAGTATTTCCAGCAGCAACGCTCAGTGTGTCTACCATGAATGCCAATCCAACTTCCTTCCATTCTTGATTCCTCTCATTTTTATTTGTCTCATTCTCCTTGTACGTGTTGGGTAGCAGCAAAGTCAGCCAAGTACCTGTATTACCATGATTGACATTCTTCATCTCTTTCATTATATTATTATATTGTATCAATTTTTCGTATTTGGCCTCCATACATGACAAAAACATTAATTTATCATTTTATGAGGAAGAACGTAATTTGTGGTGAAAACCACAATGAGAAAAAATCTAGTTAGAAAATGATTTGGGGTTTATAATAATTTTAAAGGATTTTTTGAGTGAAATGTTAAAATATTATAAATCAAATGTTTTTTTGAATATTTTTAAATTTTTGAGATTTCATTTTTTCAAATAATTTCGACTGTTTTAAAATTAATTTTAAAAAAATTGAATGTTTTTTAACAAATTTCACAACAGTTAATGCATGCCAAATTTCTATGTATTTTTTTACTAAAACATCCGCCAATTTATAACAATAAAAATAACTGATAATTCATTAAAATAGTGAAATGAGCATTAAATAAGCATTAAAAAAAATTGCTGTAAGTATCTCTCGAAATTGTTGTCAAATGAGCATTAAAAATTCAAAATATAGTCATTTCTTGAATTCCAACAAATATTCAACAGTGTAGTTCAATTAATTTTCAATATTTTCATTTCAACTAAAGCAATAATTTGAAAACTCAATGTGAACTCACCAGACACCTGTTGCAATATATCAGCAACCGTGGATTGCGTTGAAATATAGAGTAACTGATGATAATGTCCAAGTGGATGTGCAGGATGAGGTGGCATAGAGGGAACAGTGTTACCACCCCCACTAGAAACTGTCATCGGAGTTTCTGATCTCACCGACACTAACACCTTCTCCCCCTCGAGGAGCAGTTGAAGTATCAATCTCCTCGTGAATCCCGAAATTCCATGGAGATATCGTACATCTGAATTAATTGACACTCAGTTAATTATTTCAATTAGCAGACAGGCGAGCACTGATTGAATTGATTCCCCCCTTCATCATCGTGATTAGTGAATCAATTTGGGGAATTGATTGGTTAATTTACTCACTCGATGATACTCTCTGCTGGAGAATTACGTCTGTCAACAGTTCAGCGAGTAGTTTCTGATTGTTGGGATGACACCAGCAGCAACGGGACAGAAATTTTATCATTGCTGATTCCAATCTTGTGTAGGAAACGTTCATTCTGTAAAGATGAAGATTAAGAGCGTTTCAGAATTGAGGGAATTATAAAGAGATGAATAAAAACAGTAAAACAACATTTTTTTCAATGGATTTTGTGAATATATCAAGAACTCCTGGTTAAGGAAATGAAAATCAAGAGACTCTTTTATGCTTTAAAACATTTTTACAAAAAAGTTCTCTATTCTTTCAAAGAAATTTGCAGAAAAAATATGGAATTCCAATAGAAAAATTAAATGAAATATAAAGAAATGAATAAAAAAAAAAAGAAAATTCGTTTCACTCTATTTTGTGAATATCTAAACAATCACTAGCTCTAGAACAAAAATCAAGAGACTTTTTTATGCTTCAAAAAAATTTTACAAAAAAGTTCTCTTTTTTCCAAAGAAATTCCCAAAAAATCTTCAAAATGTCTTCAATTTTCCAATTGTTCAAATTCGTTTCAACCGATTTTTCAAATATATAAAAAATCCCTAACTCTAGAGACTTTTTTATACTTCAAAAAAAAATCTACAAAAAAGTTCCCTCTAAAAAAAATCTCTAAAAAAATCTCGTCAAATTCTTTTCAATGGGTTTTGCGCTCATAAAAAAAATTCCCACCATTAGAGACTATTTTATACTTCAAAAAAACTCTACAAAAAAGTTCTCTCTAAAAAACTTTGTAAAAAATCTCCAAAAAATCTTTAAAAAATTCTTCCCATCTTCGAAATTCCTCCCGAAGCATGAGCCGCCTCCAACCTAGTCCTCCCCATAAAAATCTGACATTTATCTCCGTCCAGCTTAACCTGTCACCGCACTCACCTAGCAAAAGTGATGGAGGGATTTTCCACAGGCCTATTACTGAGCAGCGCAGCAAGTGGCAGCCAGAATCCCCGCCCCTCCCTGCCGAGCCAGTCCCTCATCTTCCCCTCGGAGCAGACAAGCGTGAGAAACTCGATGACAGTGGCCACACTGTCAGGATCCGTCATATTGAGCCCAACACTATTGTTGCCATAAGCCTCACTGGCTTTGTCGCTGTCAGTGAGTCCCCCAGCCTCGCCCCCAGCCCCCCTGGCCTCCTCCCCCTCCCCCTGGCCCTCAGAATTCCCCTCAAGCTTGCAAAAATCCTTGATGCTGTTGACAAGAAGCCCCGGCAAACCCGAGTCTATCAGCTGTTGAATGCCAGGTGGAGACCTGGCAGCAGCAGCGACAGTCAGCAGTTGTCCCTCAGTGAGCTGCAGACACTTGTACTCAGGCAGCTGAAGCCTGCAGTACCACTCCTCAGTGTCAGCCTCACTCTTCCTGTCGTCAGTCTGTCCCTCGCTCTCCTTCCTGTCATCAGAAATCGACGCCGAATGATCAGTAGCCAAATTAGGCACGAGAATCCTGACTCTCTGAAGCAGCAGAGGAAACAGCGAAGGCCTGACATGGCAGAGGGCACAGAGTGTCGCATCAATGGCCTGCTTCAGAGCTGAATAAGTCTCCAGTGAGAGTGTCCACTGGTACAAAGAGTTGAATAAATCATCAGTCAACAACTCTTCGAGATTGTACATTCGATCCCTGATCTCGTGCGCCTTCCAGATGATAGTGGAGATGCAGTGGACGTAAATAGCCGGTGGGCTCACGACATTTGGATTACTCTGGTGTGCCCTGGCGACACTGCTCATTGCTGAGGTGTGCAGCCAGGTGAGAACAGCTGAAATTCTTGCTTCAGTGCCCGAGTCCTGGGAAGAGCACAGCTGCTGAAGTAATTCAACAACAAGTTGAACTGTCGATGTCTTCTGCGAGGCGCCCTGAAGAGGAGCACACCTGTTGTTGAGTAACAAGCTGATGAGCCTGAGCCCAAGCTCCTTGGAGTGGAGCCCGAGCTGAAGCAGAACCCTCTCGAGATTGGGGGTGAAGAGTGACGGGGCTGGGAGCAGCAGAAGGCTGCAGCAGGCCTCCACGAGTCCCTCGACCCCAGCCGCTGAGTTGAGCACCTCCTTCGAGAGACTCGAGGACAGCGCACTCACCGAGAGACACTGATGCACCAGCCTCAACCATCCCAGACTGGTCCTTGTCAGCTGCTCCTCATCAATCCCTTCATTCCTCGATTTAATCTCACCGAACGCTGTCGTCCCCAGTATTCTTATCTGACTCAGGCTGATGTTGGTGGAGTCTCTGGGCTTGTACAGCCTCACGAGAACCGACGTGGCGACCTCAGGCTGTGACAGTGTAAGCCTGATGAAGGTCAGTCCAGCTGTCAGCATTGGCGGGCAGATTGGAGTTAAATCGGTGTTTCCCTCACGAGAAATCTCCAGAGCAACTGCTGAGGGACAGGTGGCTAGGGAGGTCAGGTGAGGCTGGAGCTCGACTTCCCTCAGTAGAATAGCGCAGGGGAGGGTGATCGTGAGGTCCACCCAGGCCTCGCCAGGGAAGAAGTGGTAGCTCCAGGCTGCTGTTCTCGCTCTTCTGTGGGGAGCTGCACTCTGAATGAGCACGTCAGCAGGCTCCACCATGGGCTTCACCCAGGTGATTGTCCCGAGAGGAGCGAAATTCAGGACCCCATCCTCGTAAGTCTCCAGAGTTCCCGACGATTTTTTGCTGGTTGTGGCAGTGGCAGCTGCCAAATTGGGGGCATTCGAGAGGTGCTGCATGACAAGGGCAATTACCCCAGGTGTCGAGGCACCGGTATTCGCCTGGCTGGCACTGGAGGATTTTACCATGTTCTCGCATAGGACCTTGACACCCCCCATCGACGTGAAGACTGTCAACGATGCCTCGGTGTCCAGGACCTTGAGAATGTACCAGAGGAGGGGCTCCGACAGCTGGAGAACCCCCACTCGTCTGTCATTACCCATTTGTTCGTGAGTTGAGGACAGATATCGGTAGAGGGGATTGAGCACAAGATTGGGACTCGTCGACTTCCTCATGAGTGTCGACAGCAGTTGGAAAGTGGCGTCTGGAATGGAGGCAGGATCCCCGAGCTCTGAGACACCAGTTGCTGTCTCCTCACTGAATAACATGGCGAGGGAGGAGCCAGTGCTGGAGCCCAGGGCCCCCAGTAGCCTCATCATGGTGGGCTCGTGCTGCAGGACAGTGTCAGCTACACAGGGGTGCTTGGGCTTGGGAATGGCCCCCTGGTTCATTCTCATGGAGGTCTGCTCGGCGACTTTACTCTCGTCTGTCTGCGAGCCAATCTGAGTGATGAGGTCTGAGGACCTCGACTCCCCCACCTCCATGTCGATTGAGCTGTCTGTCCTCGGGAGTCTCGAGGGCAGAGGGGTCTGCACCAGCCTGCAGACGAGCTTTATGAGAGCTACGACGAGGGTGTCCCAGTTGGTGGGCCTTCCCTGTCGTGTTCCACCGCCTAGAACACAGGCGAATAGCCCTCCGAAACCACCAGAGTGGTTTGGAGAGTCCACAGCACCACTGCACTGCACCCCAACCCTGGCTCCCCTCACGTAAGTCGACACCAGGACTCCAACGCACTCAGTTATGCTCATCGCAGTTCCCAGATCGGTGTTAGTGAAGTTGAGGTTGATCAACGACGTTATGAGGATGCACTGGGCGTCGAGGGGGCCTCTTCGAGCCACCAGGGCGCCCCCAGGCTGCACCAACTGGTAAACAACCCAGAGGAGGAGCTCCTTCAGGGCATTTCCCAGGGAACTTCCTGGAGTTATCACGTCACACCTCATCTCGAGTCTCACCAGGAAGTCCTGGAGGGCGAGGCCCACCCTGGGCCCTGCCATCATGTACTGTTTGTCCCTCGGCTCCACGTTCAGGCCATTGCCGGACAGAAGTCTCAGCAGCATTGCCCCCATATTTCGATCCTTAACGATGCAACTGGCCATTCCCCCCAGGAGTCCGTCCAGGGGAGTGCTGATGCTGGGGTCCACGTGGTCTGAGGGCATCGGCTCGTTGCTGGTGAGGGTCAGGGTCTGCAGGGCCAGGCACCAGGCCCTCAGCGACACTGGGTTCCACAGCAAGGCAGCTATCAATCCTGATATTGCTGTGGAACTCAGGGGTATCACTGGCGTCAGGGAAGAGTCGAATTGAGTTGAAGTGCTTGAGGAGTCTGCTGAGGCGTCGAGGTTCAGTGTGAGCCACAGCTGGAGGATTAATTCAAGGCTGGTGTTGGAGTCTTGGAGGGAGAGATCAGTGAAAATTCTGTCGAAACATCGTGTGAGCATCGACAGGCTCGAGGGCGAGGGCTCTGCTGGCATTCTGATGTCCTGGCCCCTGTCTGCCCACCCCGAGGCCCTGGAGGTCGACGCCTGAGGGCGATTCACCTCCACCGGGGCCTGGATAGTCGCGTTTATGCTCAGGGGAAGGTTGTACGCCCCCAGGGTGGAGTACCTCCTCAGGGCTATCTCCACCCCCATCTCCACCCCATACTCCAGTCTCGCGTCGAGGGCCAGGGAGATCCCCGAGCTGGCTGAGGGTGGCAGCTTCGTGATTGCATTACCCTTCTTCAGCATGTTCTTCCCACGCTCGAGAATGTCGTCGAGAAACTCCTCGAGTTCACTGTCGTCCGATTCCAGGAATGAGGACAACTCGAAGCCATTGGATTTCGAGGTGGAGGCTGTGGCAGGTGGGGCTATGCTGTCCTGGGTGTCCTCGTCGCCATCGCCGTCGGCGAAGCCCTCGTCGTTGACGACTGTCGTGGATCCACTGGTCCCAGCAACTCCAGCCAAGTCCTCTTCGGTTGTTTGAGGATCCTCCACGCCCAGGGCCTCGAAGTTCTCTTCTGTCTCGGCTTCTGCGGTTGGTGAGGGCTTCGGGAAGAGCCTCCCACCCTCGAGGAGGTCCTGCAGCAGGCAGGAGATGGCGTGGGAGGACCAGGCAGTGTCTGAAGTGCCTGTTGCTAATTTAATCAACTTCAGGAGCTGATCCTCGTTCATCAGCTCTCCCAGGGTTATCACTGGGCGAGTGGAGACCACCAGGCGAGCTACGACCTTGCAAGCTAGGAGAAACATATCCACGTTCGAGGAATTACTGAGAATCAGGGAGATGAGGCCTCTGGCCACTGGCAGCACGTGCTGGTGGGAGAGATTCGCCAGGCAGTCGAGATCGACCTCTGGGGGCTCTGACCTCGAGCTCGAGGAGGAGCTCCTGGGGCCTCGAGGCACGTGTGGAGGCTCGTTTCGCCTCATCATGTCCTTGAAGTGCTTGAACGCCGAGTGCTGCTTCAGCGTCTTCTTGAGGTGTCTCTCGTGGGACTTGAGGACCTCAAGTTTATTCGAGAGCACTGTTGGAAGTTGAGTGATGGTCGACCAGGTGTAGCTCTGGGTCGATGGCGACTGGGCGCCCTTCTTCGCCTGCTCGATGTCCTGGAGCTGCTGCTTGTGGTGCATCAGACGTTTCTGAATCTTCTTACGGTAATTTCGAGAGGCTGATGATCTGTTGGCTGACACGTACTTACGCTGCATGGCTGACTCACCCTGGAGGAACTCCCAGCGAGAGGACACCCCTTGCTCCTTGCTCTTGTCGCTATTGTCATCAGAACACGTGGAGTGGGTGGCTGTTGTGTCGAGGCAGACTGACAGGAAGAGCAGTACCCAACCTATGAGAGTTGTATCGAGTCTGGCTGCTGTTGACTGGCCATTGGACAGTGGCAGCAGCAGTCGTCCGAGTGTTCGCACCATCGAATCCACCACTGATGATTTATTGGCTCCAGCCATCAGCGATTTTCGCCCCAGGAATGTCAGCAGTATGAACACCCTGTCCTGCGGGAATATGTGTGTTGAGGACGTCGCGTAGAGGTTCACCAGGGTATTCGCCAGGAAGTTACCCCACCAGGGCTGATGGCCAGCTACTCTAGCTAGCAGAGCTGCTGCGTGAAGCTGCAGCCTTGGAGCCGGTGTTACGACGCAAACTGAGTGGAAGAATCTCTCGCAAATTGTGGGTGTGAATATCTCACAGAGTGATGATGGCACTGGAGGCACTGGCCCAATCTCGTACATTGTGTAGAGTAGAATATCAGACAATGTCTCCCCCAGTATTTTCAATTTATCACTGGGGACATTGGCCAGCTGCACGTTGGGTGGGGGACTGGGCCCCTTCCAGGCCTCCAGCCTCCTCCAAACTCCCCTGACAACGTTCAACTGGTGCTGGAACATGATGCACTCCTGGTAAGTCGTAAGGATCTTGGAGGAGGGCTGCTCCTTGCTCTCTGGGCTCTTCCCCTTGCACAGATAATGCTGCATGTGCATGACGTTGGGTGTCTCCGTGCACAGGAGGGGATCCAGCAGTGCCTTCAGCCTCTCCGTAGCCAGGCTAAACCTGCACTGGACGTCCTCAGCGAGAGCTGACAGAATACTGCATTGTGATTCGATCGTCGAGAGGAGACTGACGTCGTGTCCGTTGACGTCAGAGTGACAATCCGAGGATTCCGAGTAATCTTCACCAGGAAGCACCACCATGTGACCGTAAAACATCCCCAGAGGGATCTTACACCTCGTCGTTGTCATCCCATAACGCCCTATGGTCGTTATCTTCAGGTATCTGCAGACAGGTGGGGGTTGAAGATCGTTGACAACCAGGGGTTTAGAGCCAATGTCACCAGCCACAACGAGCCTGGTGCCATCCCCCTCCTCACTCTTCGACCAAATGTCAATGGAGAGTGAGACCAGATCGCTGCAGGAGGGGATCATGAGGTCTGTGAGGAGAACTGGCGCCCCAAAGTCGAGTGTCACGAATCTCCTCGCCCCCGAGTGCATTCGCTCCACCACCAGGGCCTGCTGTGGGGGCCAGCAGAGCAGTCTCCCCCAGGGAAAGTTCATCTCCTCCCCGAAATTGGGCCCCTTGAGCTCACTGCCACCTCCACTTCCAGCTGAATTCTCGAACAAACTCCCCAGATTAATGGCACTCACTCCAGAATCAATCTTCTCCATCTTCGTGCCATCAGATGCCCCATGACAAGTGAAATGAAGTGGCTCCACCTCCAGCAGTCCCTTCATACTGTGATTGGTGCACAATGCCTTGAGCTTGCTGGGCACCACAAGATCGCTATTAGGATTCGTGGGGAGGGTCAGGAGATCCCTCAGGTCTATGTGATCCTGAGTGTAGTGAGTCGTGGCAGTTGTCACTGAGGATGTTGTCTGCTCTCCACTGACGAGTGAAGCATAAGTCAGTGGTAACGAGCTAAACTTCGGTGGCATCGGTGGCTCCACGTCGAACAATTCAGTCTCAAAAGGATTATTGTAAAGTCCAAATCTCGTTGCCAACAGGAGGTGATAAGGATTCACTCGATTCGACATTTCCCCGGATATCTGCTGCAGTATATTGACGCATTGTTGAGCAACACTGTGGCTCTTGTCCAGTGGCAGGAGCCTCGTGATGAGGATCGACAGCCACCTGAGGGAGCCAGCCCACTGGATTCCAACGATTGTTGGCAGCAATGACACAATCACTGCGAGAACTGCCTCATCGAACGAGTGAACAGTGACGTCCTCGAGGTTCCTCAGTCCCTCGCTGCAGATGACAATGAGTTTAACGCACTTGTGAGCAATACTTCTGCCAGCATTCAGAATGCAGGTGCGCAGCAGATTGGGTAATCTCCCCTGGATGCACCTGATGGTGTCCAGCTGCATCGTCTTGGCCTCAGTCGCATTCTGGCCCACCCTGAGCCTGGCTAGTCTGATGGCAGCGACCCAAACGAGTACATCAAGCGCCAGAGACTGACAGACAAGTGATTTATCACTCCCCTGGAGACACGCAACATTCAGAAGATTCTCGGTGAACAGAGTGGACTCCAGCATCACCCAGCGCTGCATTCTCTCCAAGGGAACAGTGGTCGCCTGCACCGATCTCACGGTAATTGATATCTCGTGGATCCAATCACAGCCGATGTAGTACTCAATCTTCTTACTGGCACTGGCAGCTATTCTCTCGACAGTGGCGCCAGGCAGAAAAGGCCCAGCATCGTCGATCCTCAGTTTCTTGGAAGTCGGTGGCTTAGTCTCCAGCAGATTCACCCTGCTCTTAGACCCACTGGGACCGCTCTGATCCTTAGCAGGATCGATAAGCGCTTTTATGTGAACTAACAGGGTTCTCGCTTTGGCTCTGAAGAGCTTGGGGCTCGTCAGGGTGACGCAGCCAGAGTGATCGGACAGGTCCATACATCGTTTCAGGTTGATGGGGCCACAGAGTATTTCGGTATTGTGCTGGCGCTGATACTCCTCACTGACAATTGGATTCTCCCCCTTCTGATCGTTGCTGATGTTGAAGTGAATGCGCTCGTCCACTGGAGTAAGTGGGGACTTGTGGTGTCCCAGGCCCGTTATATTCTGCTTCAGCAGGGTTACTTGAATCGTCGGTGGCTCGAGACACGACGAGTGCAGGGAGAATCTCACGTCCACCTGGCCAATGCCCCCAGCAATATTCCTGGGTAATGTCAGCTCGAAAACATGCTCGTCCCACGTTGTCGCGTCATTCTGAAGCCTCCAGGTTCTCGTGTGATGCTGATCCTCTGATTGGTGCAGGTGTTGGGGATAACGACGCTGTCGTTGGGCCTGCATCATCTCGCTCCAGCAGGAGGGCACTGTAGCCCCATAGGCTGGCGAGTGTTTGTCGAATTTAGTTAAATCGTAAAGGGTCTTCAAGTCTGGATACGTCAGGCTAGATCTGTGAGCGATTATGGGCTCTTGGTAGGCAGACGATGAGGTCGAAGTGCTCGGGGTTATCTGGTCGTTGGGCACTGCCCCTGTCTCTGTCACCATCATGTTGATGTCCTCCACCTCCTCCTTCTCCTCGCCAGAGTCGTCCTCCTCGGTTGTTGCGAAAAATCTCAGGGAGCCAGTGCTGCTGCAGGCGCAGAGTCTCTCCAGTCTGTTGCAGTAAGCCGCTGAGATGAATTTCTCGGTCTCTGATCTCGCCTCTGTCACTATCTTCAGGGTGTTGAGGTCCAGCAGGCGAACCACTCCGTCCTTGCAGACCAGGGCGACCTGGCCTCTGGGCTCGGTTGATGAGTTTGAGAGTCGATCCTTCTCCTGAAGGGGCAGGAACACCCACTCCACTGGGGTCTGCTCGGGGGGCAGCTCGCGCTTTAGCAGGGGCTCGGGCACAATTTTTGGCACCTTCTCGGTGAAGTCTAGCGTGTAGATCAGGAGGAGGGAGCTCTCGGGGGATGAGGTGTCGTTGTGGTTCTCGCCGTTTATCAATTTTGAGGATTCGTCGTTTTGGTCCCAGTACATGTAGCTCTTTGGGGAGAAGAATTCACACTCCTCGTCGATGTCCATTTGATTTGTGTTGGGGGGACTTTGGAGATTGTCTGGGTGAGGGCTTGAGGGCGAGGACAGCGTCACCAGGAGGTGTCGTCCGTCCCTCGTGGGACCTGTGTACGTTATTCGAAGGCTCGGGGCAGCCTCGATGGAGACTGTCTGGAGGACAACTGGATCTTCTTTTATCGTTTTTATTAGCTCGGGCTTCTTGGTTATTGAGGCGAGCTCGGACGTCGAGGCGAACTGCTCTGTACCGTTCATGGGGTTGAAGTTGGCGTCGTAGGGGCTCGTGGAGGGTGGGGCCACGTTGTAACCGAAGGGCGGGGCGTACAGAGTGTTCGAGGAGGAAGCGGTCAGACCTGTTGTCGTGAACATTCCGTCGAAGTGGCTGCCAACTACCATCTCTGAGTCCACGTCCTCGATCACTGGGGCCTCGTAGAGCAGCTTTGACATGTAGATCTCTTGGTAGAAGTTCTCCTGACGACCACTCGCTGAACTTGCACTGGTCCCTGTACCTGGAAGATTATGATTTTTAGGGGAGGGGCTGAGGGGTGAAAGGGGTTGGTTTTAACGGCATAGAAGTGATGGTTTTGGAGGTATTTGTGGAATGGTGGGGTGGATTTCTCAGGTGAAGGGAATCTGTCAAGCATTTTTTGCTGATTTTTTAATAAGTGAGATTTTAGGATATCCAAGTACTTTGGCTATTTTTTCTTCTGTGAAAGGGTTTTTATTTTTGTCGTTTAACATTAGAGATTTCACTTGAGCCCCATTTGACCCCAATTTTGGGATATTTTACGATCGCTTTGTTATTTAAACTGCAAGTGTGAATTTGAATAGCGATATTGAATATTTTTTGTTAATAATTTATAAACAATCAATTTTTCACTATAAAAATCAGTTGTTCGGAATCGTGACAAATTTATTCATATTCAAAATTTGACTAAAAATCGATTTCATATCATAAAAAATAAGGTTTTCGAAAGCTTAAATAATTTCAATTATTTATTCATTAACACCGAATGTTAATGCAATTTTAATTACGCCTATACCAAACTGTAAAACCTACTTGGATATCCTTAAACTGAAATTTCAAGGAATTTCGTGATTGAAAGTTCATAATATGACAAAAAAAACAATGGAACCTGTAATTTTTAGTGCAATTATTCCTCGAAAATTCCTAGAATGAAGATTAAATTCCAATTAATTAAAAATTTAATTCAATTCTGCCGTTCAAGACCTCCAAATTCCATTGAATTCTTACATTGAAAGAAAATTCGCCGTTTATCCTCTTCTTTACAAAAACAATCTTCAAACTCTCGACGAAAATCCTTAAAGCAAAAATTTCCAGAGAGAAAACTTGAAAGCGCTTAAACCCAGAGAAATCCCTAATCCAACCAAATCCTTTCGCCAATCAACCAATGAATCAACTAATCAACTGCTGAATGAAATTTTCATACCTGACAGGGTCTTCTTGGTTTTCCCCGGCTTTGGTGGATCGTCTTTACTGCTCTGCGGTGTTGCTTTATGATGAAAATCATAAACCACGAGATAATGATGCTTCATGTGTGTGTATTTATCACCAGCAACTTTCATTATGTCTAAACTATCACTGGCAGCACTGTTAACACTGTTCATGGCCCGAACGAGGGAGGCAGAGGGGGCCAGATCAGTGGAGGCCCACACGTTCTCCAGTGTTCTCAGCTGGGAACTACTGTTGACTGAGTTCACTGTGACACCACTCACGAGACAGGGCCTTATGCTCGAGTCCAAGGTCTCTATAATGGGATTGGAAGTGGTACTGCTGGCACTTGTGCTTGATTTCGTCTCGTCGAGGGAGGATTTGGGGCCTCCCAGGACGGCCAGGGAGGTCAGACTGAGCTTGTGGGAGTTCGGAGGAGACTTGAAATCACTCAGGGGGTCTGGATCTGTGGGGAGAGCTGACAGGTACGGAGTGGATGAATTCCTTGCTCCGTAGAACTGAATTGTGGACTTGTTGTTGGGCTCTTGGTGGCAGACTGATACGTAGAATGTTACTTCGTCCTAAAAATTAAAATGAAATATTTTTATTCTGGATTTAAGAAACATTTTGAGCTAAATTTTTTAACAATGAATTAGCAATAAAATTTTTTTAATGAAGTTAAGACAGATTTATTCATTTTACTTGATATTTTTAGTGAAATTATCAATTTTTTATGTAATTACCTTCATTTGACTCGTAATATTCCAAACATTGACAAGTCCATTGTGCGATGCAGTAGCAGCTAAACCAGCAACATTAGTTGTTCCAATAACTTCAACATTATCACTGGATTCACGTGCTGGGGCAGTGGCTAATGTCACTGACAGAGGAACATTCTGGGTGTATTCGCCCTTGACAAATGGACAAGCTGGTGAATGTCTCTCGTGTTCAGACCAGGGTTCGTCAGTTGGCTCCCAGCACACGAGGCACACATTACAGGTAAAACACATTGCTCTGTCCTCAGCTGTTGTGTTGGGCTCATGGTAAAAGCCAGCCTGTGCCATGTGTCCTGGTAATGCCCATCTGAGAACATTATTTCTCGATTTAGATTCACTAGACAATTTTCATCATTGATTAACAATTTTGTTTGCGAGGGGATGTACTTTGTTGGAGTTAATTTAACTTACTTGTAGTTCATGTGGGGCCATTTTGAAAATGTCTCGCGTCGTGCTGCCTCACTGAACATGAGGGCCTTGTCGGCTGGTCCACCCTCCAATATGAGGCCAGGAAGGAGACCGTTCAGTCGTTCATTTATGGCAGAGGCTATTGGTAATGCTGGTATGTGTTTATTTTGTCGCTTCAATTCCATCACAAGACCTGAGCACACTAGCTTCAATACACCGTGGGGCAGCTCCAAACATATTGTATTCCACTGGAAATTAAAGGAGAGAAATTTGGGCTAATTTAATTGAAATTTGAAGGGAAGTTCTCTTCATTAATTCCATGTCATTCCACGAGGAATTTTTTTCTAATATATTTCATTAAATCCACTGGCTGGAGATAAAAATGTCAAGACTTGGGAAAGCATTTATCGTAATATTTATTTGCTTCATGTGTTTCGTCACTTTTTACCCTGTTTTCTAAAAATTCACTACAGATAAGATAAATGTGGAATGGAGAGATTTAGTCAAGAAACTTTGGAGGCTTTTAATCATCAAATTTGTCAATTGAATTGCTTGAGAAAAATTGGAAAAAAATCATAAATATTCAGTGTCATTCAAATTACATTTTGCACNTTAAGACAGATTTATTCATTTTACTTGATATTTTTAGTGAAATTATCAATTTTTTATGTAATTACCTTCATTTGACTCGTAATATTCCAAACATTGACAAGTCCATTGTGCGATGCAGTAGCAGCTAAACCAGCAACATTAGTTGTTCCAATAACTTCAACATTATCACTGGATTCACGTGCTGGGGCAGTGGCTAATGTCACTGACAGAGGAACATTCTGGGTGTATTCGCCCTTGACAAATGGACAAGCTGGTGAATGTCTCTCGTGTTCAGACCAGGGTTCGTCAGTTGGCTCCCAGCACACGAGGCACACATTACAGGTAAAACACATTGCTCTGTCCTCAGCTGTTGTGTTGGGCTCATGGTAAAAGCCAGCCTGTGCCATGTGTCCTGGTAATGCCCATCTGAGAACATTATTTCTCGATTTAGATTCACTAGACAATTTTCATCATTGATTAACAATTTTGTTTGCGAGGGGATGTACTTTGTTGGAGTTAATTTAACTTACTTGTAGTTCATGTGGGGCCATTTTGAAAATGTCTCGCGTCGTGCTGCCTCACTGAACATGAGGGCCTTGTCGGCTGGTCCACCCTCCAATATGAGGCCAGGAAGGAGACCGTTCAGTCGTTCATTTATGGCAGAGGCTATTGGTAATGCTGGTATGTGTTTATTTTGTCGCTTCAATTCCATCACAAGACCTGAGCACACTAGCTTCAATACACCGTGGGGCAGCTCCAAACATATTGTATTCCACTGGAAATTAAAGGAGAGAAATTTGGGCTAATTTAATTGAAATTTGAAGGGAAGTTCTCTTCATTAATTCCATGTCATTCCACGAGGAATTTTTTTCTAATATATTTCATTAAATCCACTGGCTGGAGATAAAAATGTCAAGACTTGGGAAAGCATTTATCGTAATATTTATTTGCTTCATGTGTTTCGTCACTTTTTACCCTGTTTTCTAAAAATTCACTACAGATAAGATAAATGTGGAATGGAGAGATTTAGTCAAGAAACTTTGGAGGCTTTTAATCATCAAATTTGTCAATTGAATTGCTTGAGAAAAATTGGAAAAAAATCATAAATATTCAGTGTCATTCAAATTACATTTTGCACAGAATTATTATTTTTTTTAACATTCGTTGTTTGTACATGGAAATAATTGAAATTGCTTAAACATTCGAAAACCCGAAAGTTTAAACAATTTCAATTATTTATTATTTTTTAGGCCTGCTATCGATTTCTGGGAAAATTCTGAATATGAATAATTTTTTTTACGATTCTGAACGAATTATTTTTCTGATGGAAACTCGATTGTATATAAACTGTTTATAAAAATGTTCGTAATTTAAAAAACCTGCAATTTTTTAATTGTTTCATCAATCATTCTAAAAAAGTAAACATTCTATTTTTCTCAGATTTTGAAAATATTGTCTACCCGTTCAATACCGAGATTCAAATTGAGACCTGAATGAATAAAAGTAGAAAACCATTTAATTCGAGAAAAAAAATCCTAAGCACTTGGATACCCTCAAATCTAAAAAACTCATTAGTTACAGAGACAATTACAAAACAATATCCATGACACGTGAATTTTCTTCAACCATTTTAATTAAAATCCACTAAATAAATACTATCAGTCTTCAGAATAAAAAAATGTAAAGAAATTTAAAAAGCTTCATCATGTTTATTTACTTTTTGTGCTTTTATCCCTTTCTTCTGCGTCGCCTGTGCCGCAAGAATTTTATTCCACAGCTCGTGGAGTACATCCTGGACATGATCAACGCCAGGCAGATCAACACACCTCAGGCACTGATGCAGTAGTATAGCCTCTGACAGAAGTAGCTCGAGTTTTATAACGTCTTCACTCTTCAATACTGGAGTCTGTAGTATTGTGTCTAGTAGAAGTACACCATTGTAGTCACTGCGTACACCAATTCCTCGGCCATCTGTGTACAGTACTTTGTCTACGCCCTCGGCCAGGTACACACCCTGGAGTTTTCCGTCAGGTTTGCCTGTTGGTTAATTAATAATCTTTAGTTTTCATCGCTGTTTTCCAACTGTTTTTATCTGCTGGATTTTTTATTTCTCTTCTTTATGAACGAGATAAACTTGCAGCGTGAGACAAATGGCCACTCCAGTCGTTCCACGAACCTCACGCGTTGGAATTCGCAGAAGAATTGAAGACCTACTTTGGGTTAATTGCGCGTTATGTTTCGCTATGCGATTTTATCAGGAATTAGGGGCTTCATAAAGGAGTGTCGAGCTGTTATTGGGGATTTTGAAGTTCTCTACACGATGAGTCATTCCCGGAATTAATGCGTAATTAGGGAAGTTGAGTTTTTTGTGTTGTGAATTTGAATTCAATTCAATTCATCGTTTGATTCTTCTTGGGAATTTAATAAAATTGAAGATGTTTCGGTGAGAGGTCGAATTCTCAAGCTCATTGTGAAGATTAAACATCATATTTAATGGAATTTCGAATTGATTGATTCAATTCTCAGAATAGTCAGTCATTTTCGGTTTTATATGGACCTGAGAATCGTAATTACATTGAATATTTCAGAGATTAAGTCATTTATTTATTTATTTACCGCTGAATACAGACCCAACAGCACAAGGATCAAAAAATTCGTAATAATACATAATTATAATACAGTAATTCAGACTGTATAATTAGTTATAGATTTGTCAGTGACAAAATGGATGAAAATTGCATGTGAATCAGTCGTTGGGGAATAAAAAAAAATGAAATTACAAATTTTCGTCGATTTTTTCATCGGATTATGAATTTTTAGTTACGAAATTCCTTCAAATTTCAGTGAAATTCTCAGTTGATGAAGATTTCCAATAAGTTTGCCCAAAAATTTATGCAAAAAAATGTTCATTTTTTTTAATAATCTTCTAATGATTCTGGTGACGAGCGACTGCACCAAAAAATCGTTAAGAGACGATTTCTGCAGGAAATTTTAAAACTAAAAGAAAAGAATAAAATATCTCTTTAATTTCTCATTCCACCCCAGAAGATTCCACCAAATCCACGACGAAAAATCCAAGAAAGTCTCGACTTATTTTCTCCAAGAAAACAAATGAATCTCGACGTGAATAAAGCGAAACAGAAGAGGATCGTAATCTGTGCCCCGAAGACCCACCACAGGGGGACGACAAAAGATGACATCTTCCCATCGCCAAATAATTGTTGAGCAATCAAGGTATTGTTTATCCAACTGGACGGCTGATTAATTAACAGGGTCAGTGCGAAAAATTCACTGATAACCTGTCCCTGTCACTGCAACCGCCAAGACAGCGACCTTGGCAGTGCCAGGATCACAATGGAATGACGATGATTTACTGACAAATTAATAATCACAACGACGAATAGTGTGAGGTTAATTTCAATGAATAATGCATCTCACCCGACAGGCAACTCCGTTGAAGTATACCACCAAAGTTGACATCAAACACGTAAACTTGGGCATCGACAGTTGTGATAAGCAATACGTTTAAATTTGGATGATACACAATGCTTTTACACTCTGTATCAACGTTTAAATAACCGTCTTCTTTTAATAACCACGGATCATCATCAGCCATTTTTGTTTGCTCGATACGAATAAATTATTACTCGAAATTTAAAAAAATGATGTATACTAAATGTGTTAATTGTTTTTTTATGGGTTATTTTAGTATTTTATAACGTCTTTATTCCACTAATTCACCAACATCACGAGAAACATGGCGTTCTCGATACGCCATATTTGAGGGAGAACGTCAGTGGTTAGGTGTGAACTTGGCTGGTTATCGGGTGGGGGGGCATTTTTCAAAAAATTGCGGGGTTTTTTTTAGGAAATGGTGACGTAATTAGTAGAAAAATTGAGACAGAAATTATTTTGTTGTAATAGTATTTTTAGTTTACTGAAATGAAATGATGAAATTGAAAATTAAAAAATAGAAGAAAATTGGAAAATAGAGAAATTTTAGAAAATTGGGAATTTTTTTCATTTGTTTAAATGTTTTTTTTATCATCTTTATGTGGTTTGAAAGATAATATCTTCCAATGATTTTCAACGCGTTTATAATATTATTTTAATTTTTTGAGAATTAAAATAACAATTCAAGTTTTTTATTATAATAAAAAAGTCATTTTTCATCATTTTTATATTGTTGAAAAGATAATGAATAATGTCTTCTAATGATTTTCAACGAGTTCTCAATATTTTTTTCATTACTTAAAAATTAAAACGAAAATCAACGTTTTTCATTGCAATAAAACCAATTATTTTTGCCACAGACCTGAGTTTTTTCTCAATATCCCAGTGAAATACAACTGAGATATCAGTTTTTATCTTGAGAAAACAGAAATTATTTATGCAGTTGCCGTTGTATTTTTCATTTATAAAAAATCCTGAAAAATTGTAAAGTAACAAAAAATAAAAATCAATGTTTTTTACTGTAATAAAAACCAAATCTCCCCCAAGACTTCAATTTTTTTAACATCTCAATTTCATCTCCAGGATAACTCCTCTCCCTCTCTCAAAGCCTCGGCCTTAAAAACTAAAATTAAATAATTCAAAATACTCAGAACTTTCTGTTTATTCATAACATCCATTATATACATAATTATGATATCGATTTATTCCTCTGATTGCGCTGCCATTGCCCTTTGCTTCCTGACTTCACTCCACAGCGTGGGCTTGGCCTCAGGGTATTTATCAGTCATGAAACTCCTGAGTTCCCCGTGTTCAGCGTAAAGCCGAATCCTCACGTCCTCTTTATTCCTCAGATACGCGGTCTTACGCAGGCGAATGGTCCACGATGGCAGACGAGTGTAGAACGGCGGGTATTTCTTTTTTCTGTAGACCACCTTGCCACCCATCACGTATTGACTAAAGTCCATGACTTCTGTGGAGGAAATTTCTTCGGGTTTTCTTACGATCGCGGGAGAGGCTACGACCACCGGAAAATTGCCATTTTCCTCCCTGAGTTCCACGACGTGAAGTTGTTTCTCTTCAGCTAATTGTTCATGTGTTTTCTAGAAACGAAATTTATTCGAAAATATAAAATTTAATTAATTAATTTGTTGTTAAATCCAATTGTTTTTTCATTAATTCATTAATTCATCAATTTATTAATTCATCAATTCATTAATTCACCAATTAATTAATTTATAAATTCATCAACAGAAAATAATCAAGTAAAAATCAGTGAATTAATCAATGAATTAAGTAATTCACCTGTTGCAGCAATCCAACGAAAAACGCCTTGATAATATGCTGCAGCCGAAGAGATCCCTCGACCTTGGCATAAAGATCCTTAATCCCAATCATTTCGCAACAGGTCTTGATAGCCCTGTGGCAGCGCAACCCGTACCCCTCCGCCTTCTTCGAGACAAAAATCTTGGTCTTCCCGAATTGACAGAAGAAGTCGTGGAACACAGTGTGCTCATTGTGCCTGTTGATGTAAATGAGCTTCATGGCAGCTCGATTCTTCGCCATTTTCAATGCCGGTCGACCCTCCGGGGCTTTCCCCATGGCGAAACCAGCAAGACCATTGCCATTTCCTGTTATCACCATTGCACTGACTCTTCGCTTTCGCCCCATGTTTCCAGTCATAACGGATACCAATTTGTACTCGAGGATTCGGGTGTCAAAACCTTCGAAATTCTCTGATGACAAAAATTAAAAAGGAGATATGATAAATCATCATGAGTATTTATTAGTAATTAATTTTATTTATTTATTTATTCATTATTTATTTGATGAATTGATGATCTCCAATAAGCTCTCAACACTTTACTTCATTCCTTGGCGATTAAAATGGAAATTCAGTTTTAAAAAATTCCAGTTATTTAATAATAAAAGTTGAAGATGAGAAGAAATTAATTGGTTTTTGAAGACTTGCAAGGACAAAATAATTCCATTTAGCTTCATTAATTAGTGAAAAATATAAAAAGATGAAGACTATTTTTAAAATCCCCAAGAACTCTATTTAAATATTTGAAATTAAAGGATTCGTGGCTGACCTTCTCCAATAGAATACTTCACTGATATTTTCTCACCATAAAGCACTTCATTAATTATTTAAACGTTCTAAGCTACAAAAACCGACTCAAAAAGTTTGAAAAAGCCTCACCCAAGAGTTTAGAGATAATTAATAATTTGAAAAGATAAAGAATATTTTGAAAATCTCCAAAAACTGTATTCAAAGATTTCAAATTGAAGATTTCGCAAGCTGACCTTCTCCAATAGGATCAGGAGGCCCAATACTCCTTCCCCCAGGCTTAGCACCACTCCACCCTCTCTCCAGTGGAGAAAGTTTGACCCTCCTCTTCTTGATTATGGCATCCCTGGCAGCGAAGATCTTCTTCTCGTACTCGGGGTTGTCCGGCAGCTTCTGCTGATTCACCAGCTCCCTCCCCCTCATGACTGGGGCGTTCAGCCCCGGCCACAGCATATTCTTCTTGCCAACTCCAATGACCTGTCCTTTATTCAGGTTTTTTATGATTCTCCTGGATTTTGCACGACCTCTCTTTCTTCCTGCATTGCTCACGTGGGTTGCTGACTTCCAGAGATGGTCAGCAGGGTCTGAAGCATGGAAATAATTTTATTCCTACGAATCCCCAGGAGTTTCTTCGGGAATACTCTAACGTAAGAATAATTTTCCAACAAGGGAAACGCCTACATTATTTTAAATAAACGTTTTTCATTAAATAAACGGTCTTCAACATTCTTCACTGTTGAGAGACGTGTTCTGAAGCTGAAAAAATTCTCTATAAAAAATGATAGACATTTTTGTCTCACACTGTTGGAAAAAATTGAAATTTCGTGGATAATTGACTGGCAATTTTCAGGAGAGTAATTTAATAAATAAAAAAAATTAGTAGAATTTTATAAATGTATGGATTTTGAGAAATAAAATAATTTTATTTAATGAAATTTCAGATTTCACACCAGGAGAGCAAGAACTCCCAGACTGACTTGAAGTTTCAAAAGTGAAAATACGAGGATATATTCACTTGAATGTTCCTGATTTCTATTGATTTTCATGGAATAGTTGAACTGACATCGAGTCTCCATTAATTTTTTCATAAAACGTTAAATTTTCGTAAATTATTTTGTAATGAATTAGTAATTAATTAGTAAATTTAGTAAATTTTACACAAATTAAATGAATTGAATGAATTAATGAATTAGTAATTAATTAATAAATTTAGTAAAATTTCCACAAATGTTGAATATTGATAAAAAATAAAGTGTGACAAAAATTTCATCTATAAATTCCTAAAAGTGCTGACTGCACTCTCTTGAGATTCGGTCATCATAAAAATAATCCCAATCTGAATTTTAATTTCTCTCTCAATTTTTTTCTCAAACTGTCTCCCTCGAAAATCGCAAAATAAAAAAAAAATTCTCTTACACTCATTGAAGAACGACACATTCCGAACGAAACTCTTCACTGGAGACGCCTCATTGATCGTCTCCAGGGCGCACTGACTCCCTGGAAGACCCCTCTGCAATCCTAAAAACAATAAAACGTCCGGAAATTGATTTCTAGGTTAGGAGAAGCTCCTGAATTCGTAAATATCTAAAAACCGTGAGAATGTCACGATCGAAGAGTTGTCCCACCAGTTTTGGGGATGTTGAGGGACACCCTGGGCCCAGCAAGAGCGCCACAGGCTCTCAATATCCTGAAAGCCATCCTGAAACCCTGAAGAACTGCCGACAGTCCTCAACGACGAGGAGAAAAACCGAAACAACAATCGACGAAAACCCTCTAGCGGTCAAGATGTCATCTTCTAAACTAAGATGACTAGATAATTCCGAACAACCTAGCAAACAATTTGCAATTTGAGATTGCAATGTAGATGTGGGAGCGATCAGGAGCGATCAAGTGGCCTTTTAACTAACTACTCTTGGGGGCCAACCAATGATATCACTGACAAGATATGAATGTTTTTATGGGCTTAAATGAAAGAGCGGCTCGAGAAACGGCGTGCATCAATCTCTAAACATGACAAATGTCCCTAAAGATGATGTCTGTTGTCAATTGAAAAGCAGAATTGTGACCACATTGTCAAGGAGGACAATGGGCTCCAGGAGTCTCTGGTCCTTCAACTCCGGTTTTCAATTGAAACCAAAGTTCCGCGTGGAATGAGCCCAAGTAGAAGTTTCTATCATTAAATTAAAAAAAAAGAGGGGCTATCTTTAATGACAATTTTTTGAAAATTCATAAAAAAAAAATTCAATCTATCAAATTATTTTTATAGTCAATCATTGTCTATCATTCGCCTATCAATGGATTCCCATGGTCAAAATAATGAATTTTTAATAATCAGGGGCTAACTTTTCAGAGCTCCAAAGTACCCGTAAGTTCCACGGGATCTGCGGTTGGCAGCGCAACAAGCACGAACGATCCCCAAGACGTGGGAGGCGAACCGCGCGCCCCCGACCCCCCGGCCCCTAAAACCGTTAAAACCCGGGCCCCCTACACCCTCCCGAGAGAGACAGCGCGACTTTTCCTCCGCGGTTCACCGCCCAAATCGCCGAGGACCGAGTGGTAACGAACCAAACCAGTGTCCCTCAACCCAGCGGAATGCCCCCGGACTCCGAACCGCCGAGTGTTGTCGTTACCCAAGTGCAAGCGAGATACCCCCCAAAGAGCGAGAGGGCCAAACCCACGGGACGTAGACACGAGAGAAAATTTCTCGGGGGTTCCGCTTTCCGTTTATTATTATTACGTTTTTTTCTCCATTATTTTCCATCACAACCCACAAAATCCTCCAATTAAAATCCAGCCCGTTGTGCCCCACAACCTCTACTTGATGCCCAATAACCAGTGTACGAACGATAACTCGTGTTAGCGATAAATAATAGTTACAGCCGTTTATTTGGAATGGATAAATCCCAGGGCAGGGAGGATAAAATGAAAGTTAAAATAAGAGGAATGAGAAACGAGAAATGGTGGACGGTTGTATGAAAACGATTGGACGAGTGAAATTGGATAGAAAAATATTCAGCCGGCGACGCGCGGAAACCTCTTCCTCCTCGGGGACGGTATTATTCCCCTAGTATCAGCCAAATGCAACAATATCTGTCTTCCTTCACCAGTGATATCTCCCTCCAACACACGACAAAAAATCGTAACCGTTCAGCTAGAGCTCGCTGACTCCCAGCAGAATCGTCCCAACAACATCCAGCATATCCAGCATGGATCGGCAATCGATGTTGCGTGAATTTTAATCGTTGGTCTGCAGACTCGTGTCAATCGAGGACGAGGGAGGAAACAAGCAAGCAAGAGAGGAAACGACGACGAGGAGGGCGAGCAGTCGAAATTCCTGGGACTGCATCGAGCTGGGGACGAGCATTGGCCCCAGACCACGGAATTTCGTAAATCAGTGGAAAATCGAGTGGGTTCAGTGAAGTGCAGAGTGAAACAGGGACGTGAATAACAGAATAATATTTTCGGGGAGTCCGTGGGGTGAGTGGAGGCTGTGGGGAAGGGCCACTGAGAGCTGGTGCGTGGGTGGTGTAACACTGAAGTTATTAGTTTTTAACTGGGGAGGAGAGGAACTGGATTATTTGTCTCGTCGTTTTTTCGGGGGTTTGTCGTCTGGCCCTGGCTCTGGGGGCCCGTGCCAAGTGCCAGGAATGGGCATTTGTGGGGGCTCGTGACACCAGCACCTCCTCCAACCTCGTGGACAACTTCCTGGGGCTCCAGTGCTGATGATGAGAGTGTCTACTGACAACTGCTCTCGCTGACTCTCGAGGGGATTATTTGGGTGTTTGTTCTGTGATGTGACAGCGGTTTTTCGGGCTTTTTGGATCGACTCGGGGATTGGGGAGCTGCAGAGAGGGGACAAGTGGGGAAGGCGAGCAGAGTTGAATTGGAAATACTGGAAGGAGCTGGAGACTTTGGGAAATTGGGCTGAGACGATGATGAGAGGTTAAACGTTGGAGGGATGGGTCGTGGTAGGGTAACAGTATGCGGGAGAAGTCTTCAGAATGTCCCACTCACGTAGACTACGTGAGGGGCACGACAGAGATGTGCTCGCGTGATCCTCCCGCCCTGCATCCAGCCCTTGCCAAGGCCAATGGTAAAAATTCATCGCCACAGGCGAGTCCACGGGGAGAAGGGAGAATTGAGGGTAATTGTTTGCCCACACCTGGGGGGAGGTTGAAGTTCTTTAAGGATGGGAAGTTTATTCTCGAGCTGTCGCACAGGAGGGACGGCGAGAGGACGACGTGGTTCCCTGTGCCCAAGAAGACTTTTTGGCCTCCTGCTAGCACAACACCGAATAGACAGGAGAGCTCGACTTCACTCAGTGGTAAAGCTGGGTTTATTCTTCATTTTTGGGTCTCGGTGGAAGCTTTGTAATCGTTCTCATTTGAGTTTTGGGATTTTTGGGATTGTATATCGACTGTCTGTGCGGATGGAACTGAATCTTTTTTTTTAATGCAGGGGAGAATGGGGTAAAATCAGTAGCGAAGCGGTAAATCGGGTCAAGTCGATTTTGACTTTTGGCCATTTTTTGACAAATATCTCGGAATCTAAGAGAGATAGCAAAATTTTGCTCATTACCTTTTTTATAACCCTCAGTTGACTCTAAAAAAGGTCATGACAAACATTTTTCTATCTCTTTTAGATTCCCACATATTCGTTAAAAACTGGCCAATAGTCAAAACCGACTTGACCCGGTTTACCGCTTCGCTACTGAAATGGACATTTTTGACTTTTTTAAAAACATTCGTAACTCACGAACAGATTTATCAATTGCGCTCGGTCTAAGCTCGTCACGAAGAGGAATCATTGTTCTTTTTATTAAAAAATAAAATTATTCCATTTCATGAACAATTCAACGAGTGATGAACATTCCAAAAAAAGTCAAAAGTGTCCATTTTACCCCACCCTACCCTAGGTATTGTTGAGCCCTATCGATCGTCATTAATTAAAATTTGATTCGTCGATCAGTTTTTAAAATTTTTGAATTTTTTCGAAAATCGGTTGTCCCACGATAACTAAAAAAATGTTCTGAATTGATTGAATGATGGCTTAAAAAATCTGTTTGGATGTCCTTCTGACCGAGTTCGAAGGTGAAGGCGATAGCAATAATCGTTATTTTGATTAATTTGAAAATTGGAAAAATTTTGTATTTTTTGAAAATCAGAATTCCGGGGATATCTTTGAATATCATGCTGCAAATGAATTCAGTCATAGCTTAAGATGTTTGTTTTAATGCCATTAAGTCGAAGTTAAAAGATGATTACGATAGCTATATTGGTTGGTTTGATTTTTATGATGATTGTTGAAAATTTCCAATTTTTCACGAATTTCCCTGAGAGTGAGCTTTAGTGAGTAAAAAAGACAATCGGTTGTACAGAAGAAAGGGATAATAAGAATAATGACGATGATAACACTCAACTGAGTTAAAAATCTGACAAAATTAGTTGAGAAGAAATCTTATTCAATTCAATAAAATGAAATAAGCAATGAATTGTACATGATAGCAGGAAATGACGTGCAAATTGATTTAATTAACGAGTACGATCACTGCTGTTTCAGTATCTGACGACAATTCCTCGATCCAATCGAGTCCATGGCAGCGAGATCACTGTTGGAAGCAGACTCACCCCCGACGTTGCGTGACAACGGAATTTAATTTCTACTACCGTCGAGATCCTCGAAATCGTCTCTCGGCACCGTCACGCCAGCTGGCGAGAATTCGTCGACGTCCCCTGGACCCTTGGCCCCTGCCCCTCGTCATCGAGACCCCCACGAGGCACAAGCAACCAGCCAAGAGCAACAACGTCACTCCAGGGAAAACATTGACTCTGATAATCGACAAACTCTCTCGTTTGGACCCAAACGTCGTTTCCCCGAGGAAGAGAATTCTCAGGGAATTGGAGAGAGTCACCCTCGAGGATCAAGCCTCCAAGAGGCGTGCCACCCCCCAGCCAATGACCCCCACAACAACAACTCCTTCTGTTCAATCACAGAAACAATTGTCTTCGTACAGCATCACCAGTATTTTGGGTGAGGACAAACCGAGTCCAGAGCCTGGCTTCCTCAGAAATCTCCTCAAACTCGAGGACACTAATGCTGTTAAATACTCGTCGAGTCATTCCTATCCTAGGGGTAGAATCGATCCATTCGTTGCTTCTGCCAATACATCGATTCATCATCCTATTTATGGTGTACCAATGCTACCACCTGGACCATACAGACCAGGACTGTGGATGCATTATCCACCTCCTGTTCATTATCCACCACCTCTGCCCATCTATCCACCCCCACCACCTCCACATCCATCGTCTTCACCGGTTCATCATTATAAGGATTATAGGGAACAAACTCTAACGCCTCCATCAGGTATTTATCCCTCTGGGTTTCAATGAAATTGGGAGTGAAGTGGTAAAACGTAACTGAACAGAACGAGTTGATTTTTTTTAATATCGTATTCTCATATTAAATCAATTCGGCAGTGAGGGGGGTTGGGGATAGGTGGTTCACCAGAAATTTAGAATTTCAAGTTTTACGATTTACCAGTTTACTACGGAATTTTAGGAAGTGGCGCATTATTTTGCACGATTTTCTGGAGTATTTTACTATTGATGTTTTCAATCATCTCCATATTTGTAAATTCAGGTGAAGGAATCAGGGTATTTGGAGAGATAACAACAATGGTGATTACATTGTCAAAAGAAGCGACGTTTCGCTAAATTAATTTTGCTCAGGAGGCAAAATAATTCAGCTCCAAATGCCCTAATTCCTTCACCCTATTTTATTGTTTTTCATCAATCTACGAATCTTCACGTAATTCAGAATTTAATAACATTTAACAATTAATTCATTGAAGGAGATGAGTAAATTCTGCTAAAGTTTCTATGAAATATTTGAGAATTTCGGAGATTCTGAAGCTGTTGAGACAATTAAACTTCAAGAATTATTCAATTTTTGTCATATCAATCTCATTTCTTCTAAAAAAATTGTCTCCAAATAAGTGCGAAGTAGTAATCACCCCCTTAATGACCTCCACCCAAGGCCCCACTTTAACTAATCTCCACAATCCCCTCAATTTGTTACAGATGTGCCGTTAAATTTGTCGAAGCATGCAGGTTGAATCTCAAAATCCCCGAAAAACCTCCAAGTAACAAAAAAAAACAACGTTTGGTGCCTTAGCGAAGAATAAATTATCAATATCAGCCCCACTGCCCGTGCAACGACAATGAGTATCACTAGTATTTTTCTACAACATTAAATCACCCATAAGAATGAAAAAAAATCAGAACTGAAAACGCGAGAGCCAGCGGGAATGAGTAAAAATGAAAAAATCAAACTCACGAGAGGGGGGAAAGGGGGAAAGATAATTCCCAGGACTAATGCGAATCCGAGTCGACACTCCTGTACATAATCGTAATGCAAAGTCTGTCAATGTTGATGGAAAAAGGCCCTCAGCTCCATTGCAATTCATTGAGAACAAATTTAATCATCTCGAGTCATTTACAAACTTCGTGCATATAGTATTAAAAAACAGACTACGTTTGAGGTAAAGTGCAATGAGCCGATGATAACGTCAATAAATCACTCAATTCTTTCGTTATTAGGATGAGAACAAATTGATTGAATATTTCTTTAATTATCAGATAACGTCCATTAGGTGATAGGGTCTCGAATTAATAGCAAAGTTCAATCACTTTGCCGAATCAACCAAAAGAGTAATCATCTTCCCACGTTGAAATTCAGTGAATAAATCACAACTAGAGATTAATTTTTTACGCTCTGAATTTATCAAGATTCTAAGAATTCCTCAGATTGTTTTTTTATACTGTAAAAATGATTTTTTTTTAGTAAGTCACTAGCCTTCCTCGTTTCATCTGCATCCCATTCACATTGCTGTTTTATGAACTCTGATTAATGGTTAATTGATTTATTTCATCGATTATTTGCGACTAGGGAAACTAAAATGATGAGAAATTGTGAGTAGTGTGAATTTTTAATGAATTTACAGGTCTTTTAGGGATCTTTGGGAATTGTAATTGAGATAATGGAAAAAATTCGTAAGAAAGACATAGGTTTATGTACAGAAACAGATATTACATATTATACATAATTAGATCTATTATATTCTTATTATTATTGGAGAATTTGTAGCGACTTTTGGTTAATTTAGGAGTAAGAATTTTTTTTTTTTTCATTCTCTTGGTTATTACGGAGGAAACATATTTATGCAATATCGAGAAGTATGAGGACATTTAAATAAATATTATATATATTATGAAATTGAACGATACAGAGCGTGAGGTGTGCCTTAAAATATCTCGGAGTGACACTAAAAATTTTTTAACAAATTCATTGCGGGGGAAAATAATGAACAGCTCGATGTACATTAGACTCCTATGTACATATACATTTTTTAATTCTTTAATGATATCTTTTTGTCATCATCTATGCGTGTAGGACTCAAAACACGTGACACTGACTTGAATTTATATTTATTTAAATGAGAAAAAAAACGTGATTATTTTCGGGGAGTTTTTTACTCGACTCGAAGCAAAAATGGTAGAAAATAGAAGATGAATAAGGCAAATTCACTCAGGCTCTAATGGATAAAATAATTTACACATTCAATGAATCTTCGTGAAAGCGTGAAGGAAAAATGAGAAAATTGTATAGAAAGACTAATTTCGTAAATATAAATATTTCGTATATACTAGAGGTGATATTTCTTGAGATAATTTAAGTTCCATAATGATATTTGTCAAATTATTCAAGTAATTTGGGTAAACATTGACTCTGATGAACGACAAAACTCTGTCGTTTGTATGCAAACGTCGTTTTTCCGTGGGAGAGAATTCTCAGGGAGTTGGGGAGAGTCACCCTCGAGGATCAAGCCTCCAAGAGTCGTGCCACCTCCCAACCAATGACCCCCACAACAACAACTCCCTCTGTTCAATCACAGAAACAATTGTCTTCGTACAGCATTACCAGTATTTTGGGAACCTCCTCCCACCCTCGTCACCCCATCAGAACCCCTCAGACCCTCCACAACACCTCATAACCCCCTCCCCCAATCCCTCCGACCCATAGAAATTCCACACAAACGCATAACAGTTGAATTATTAAATTATTATTTAACTAAATAATTGATAATTTAATCTTGAAAATTATTATATAGATTATAATTATTAATAATTAATCCCAACAATGACCAACAATCAGAACCCTTCAAAAATCCCCATCCCTTCATTACCATCAGTCGGCCCCATCACGTAAACAAAAACCTCCAAAGAAACCCCAAACAACCAATCCCC